TGGACAGCACTAGGTGCTGATGTTCCTAGATGCTCTAGAGAATGCTGAAAGTATTAATTTCAGTTTCTGTTCTTAAATATCGCTTTGTTTGGTTAGGAGAACAAGACTAACATACACAAAGCAATAGGCCTGCAGTGCGGATAAGTGGACAGTTACATGACAAAACAGAGTAGACTTACGCTCAGTGCATTAGGAAATATATCACAATGTTGTAGGTTAGAAAAAATTCAAAGGCAGTAATAGAAGGAAAGCGAACTAATGAAGGAGTAACCAAATGAATAACACCATACTACCACTTTAAGACAGAGACAGGAAGGAAGGTGGTTCTGTTTGTGAATTTTATTAGATGCCCCAAAGCATAAAACTCAATTCAACTAGGTCTATTTGGAGTTAAGAAAGCAAACATCATCAAGTATGTAGCTTAGCACAAGGAAGATGCTTCTTATGCCTAGCAGGCTTTACATAGCAAAGTTGAAAAGAATTGGAGAAGATGACTGAACACAGTGTTCATTCATGTCCTTAAGCAAAATTATCGCAATGAAAAATATTACTTTGCAAATTAAGGGATAGCTAAGAAAGTGTTTCTTTGCCTCTTTATGGGATTAAATCCTGTTTAGAAATTACCATTTTTGAGTCAACATCTGCCCTTGGGAGATGTGTATGGATGTATTGCTGTGTCTAAATCAACAAGTATCTGCAGAAAAACCGAAAGGATAAAATAATATTTCCAACTCCCATTGATCCAAAATCTAGGAAAGGCACTTAATTTAAAGAACCCACACCTTCACATCTTCCCTGAAATTTTCTGCAGGACTTGAAAAGCATAAACTACTGCTAATTGTTTTGCTGAAGCTTCCAGGGCATTATTTAGATGCACTTACTCAAACACAGGATAACATATTGTTTGGGCAGTGGGGATGGATAAGACCTCAAAGTACATTAACCACAAGGGCTAGCCACCAGGGTTTGGAGTTTCTTCCTTCTTTGATAGTTTGTGACATTAAATAGTCCAAGTAAGGGTTATATCATAATCTCCTGGTCTTGTTGGAGAAAAAGACTATCTGGTGGAAAAAAGTCAAACATTATAAACAATGTTACTTAGAAATTTAGAAGAAATACACATGACTGCCTTACATCCTGAAGTTAATTGGATCTAGAATTATTTCCTGAGACAGCTTTAGCACCTGGAGATTCTGACTCTTTAACCTTGGAACAATTTCAGCCTCTAAGTAGCTTGCTGAGTTACAGCTAGACTGCAAAATTAAGGTTCAGAGGGACTGGTGATGGAGTGTAAAATGGGGTGCATTTTAAAAATAAATACTATTGTCCCAGGGAAGTTGTCTCAGCATTATATTTGTGTCAATTGATGCATATGAGTGGATATATCTTCAAAATACTGTTTTCTGCTTGTTTGTGGATAGGATGTCATATATGTCTTTTCGCTTTTCTTCAGAAAAAACTCTACTTTTCCTAGGTTTCTGGTTTTTCCATGCTATGGTATTAGCTTTACAGCATTTTTATATGGCTATAAAGCCATATAACTTGTATATAGCCTGTTACAGTTATTCGTTTTCCTATCTAAATCCATAATAGCTCTCTGTTGCTTAAGGCTGACAATTATCTTTGTATGTCCCATTGCTACTTAGTATAATGTCTTGTACATAACTGAAGCTCCATAAATATTTGTTGTAGTGGAAATTAAAGATAGGCTGCTAGTTTAAAGCAAATACAGACAAAACTTGCTCGCTTTCTAATCTTTAAGCTGCTGTTTGTGTATGTCTGTTAGCATTGGTGTGCACATCTGCACATGATACACCTTAATAAAATTTAATCACCACAAACCAGTGATCTGCCATACATAATGGGATGAATTTGCATAACTGTATATTACCTTATGTTGACAGCATCATAGTTCCAAACAAGAATCATAAATCCAAATACTATTAAGTTTCTCATGTACTAAGGTGATATGATTGATGTGCATAGAGTGAGACTCCAGAGTGAGTCAAAATATGTAGGTTTTGAGTAATTTACTCATCTTACTTGATTCGTTTACTACCTACCAAATGGGACTAATTTCGGTAGTACTTTATCACATATTTTTCAGAGGTTTTATGTGAAAGTGATTTAAAACAGTAAAATACAAAGGTAGATAACATTACTGTTGTTTTCTAGCAAGAACAATAGACTTGCAGTCTTTTTCAAGTTAAAAATCACGTTTACCTTGTAGGCTTAGGGATATCTTCTGTAATCATGAAAGAGAGAAAAAAATCTTTGTTCATGTGGTACAAGTAACATGATTTTGATCTTGATATCAAGATCCTCTAAGGAACTCCTAAAATACCCTACTTAGGCATCAGCTGTATAGAATACTAGCATGAATAAGGTCAAGGATACTATTAATGGAAAATCCAGTGTCTTAAGACATCATAAACATCACATTATCTCTTTTAATCCTCACAGTCACCTTGGGAATTAGGAATTCTTATCCATATTTATGGATGAGGCAAATGAGGCTTAGAAAAAATATATAACTTTCCCCAAGTCAGATCCCAAATATGTCAGACAACCAGTGTGATTTGATCATAGGTTTGTCTGATTCCCAAGCTTAATTGCTATATTGCCTTCCAGACTTGGAAACTAAAATTCAGGAGCCATGGAAGTGGTTGCTCCAGCAACATGGAACTCCTACAACTCTCAGCACACCTCAAGTTGTCTCTTACCTCCAGTCTTTTTTACAAGTTGCTCCTTCATTCTGGATTATTTGTTCTCTTTCCCCACACCACACAAACCAGAACTAATTGTCCCAATCGTTGCCACCCTTTAACCCTCAATTCAGAGCATCTCTACTCCCTGCAACCTTCACTCAGTCTTGACAAAATGGGGCCCCTGTGTGCAGCCATAGGTACACATCTGTCATGACACTTACGGTGGGGAATTGCAGTGATTTCTGATGTTTCATTCCCCTCCCCTAGACTATGAACAACCTGAGGATAATAAAACCATGTGTGTATCTCTTACACTAGCCCATTATGGGCTACATGACATATGCTCAAAAATGTGAGTTGAGTTAAACTAATTAAATGATTCAATTAGTTGGATTTCTTGGCATTATACTTTGCATTTAAGATGATATTAATTTAAACAATAAAATACTTATATGCCAAGATTATACATTTGTTCAAACAACATGAATAATAGTCGTAACACTGTATGTTAGGTTTTGGCAAGAGAAGGTTTAAGGTTACATATAATCGAATTTGGCTGCTAAATTAGACATAATGGTGAAAATAATATATCCAATACTGTATATTAATTAGATATCTTACGTATATATACTGCTATATTGTAGTTATGAACAAGGACAGCCAAAAAAAAAAAAATCATCCTTATGTGATCAAGTAAGGATTTTGTTATATTTGCAGATTTTCAAAGGTCAAAATATATTCATTTTCAAAGAAAGGCTTTTCACAAATATCTGTTCATTTGGGAATTCCATTAATGAGATTAAATATACTTTGAATTATGCAGTGTAATAATAAAGGATTATATCTATTAATACAAGTTTAGATCTGAATCTCATTTTCATAGTTAAGAAAAAGCTTTTTATATGTAACTGAAGCTTATTTAAAATACTGTTTAGTTTTTAAATATACTTATTTTCAGTCTAAGCAGTTTAGTTTTGTCTAAAAATTGTAGTCTGCATTAACATATTCTTAGAGAATTGAGATAAGGGGAATACAATCTCTATTTTATAGAATACTGGAAAAAAATTCCACTTACATGCAGGCAGGTAATTTAAAGTACAGATCAAACTATTATAGAATAAAAAGGTACATATATTTTCTGATTGAATTATGAATATCAAAAGATACCAAAATATCAGAATTAATAACCATTTGAAAAGATTTACTCAGAAGACCCTTCATGTAAATTTCTCATTTGTATTGGCGTTTTAGTAATCTCTTTAACCTTGACCCTATAAAGGTCCTCATAAATTGTGATTCTTGAATTATGCTATTAAAGATGAATATTTATAAGATGGTACAATCTATGGATTTTATTTCTAAGACAAATTCACACTTTACTTTCGTTATATAATAAAGTCCCACTTGTCCAGCTGGTAGACTTCTGCTAAGCACAGGGATATGAGCATAGTTCCAAATAGAGACATTAAGGTAATAACCTCTGGTTAATAGGAAATTAAATTCTTTAAGCATTTCACTCCAGGGGAAAGCATAACACAGAACAGACCTCACTGACTTCTGTAACAGAGTAGATGATAGTTCGATTGAGTTGAATTTTGTGCTGCTTCCAAATTTAGCGATTTATTGCTTCTAATAGAAACAAAGTCAACCATATATGTGAGTTCTTGTATATTTGTGCACACATCATCAACATTTAAATCTATAATTAGAATATATTAATATATAACTTTATGAGTATACACAAACTCTTAAAAGACCTAGGAAGCAAATTTCCTCTTTATCCATATCTCATCCTCATTCAAAATCTCTAGTTACATCCCAACAATCCTCGAAATTTTCTCTGATAAGTTTAACCCATGTTGTTTCCTCCTCAGTCCAGGATTTTGTTCTTTACACAATTAAAATGTTTTCTTATGACAACTTCTCTAATGTTATTAGTATTTATTTCTAAATGTCAGGCTATCTAAGTCATTAATTCTTTTATGTATGTATTTCTTATTTCTATTATAAAACAACAACAATATTATGGATGATACCCCTATCATACTTTTATGGCATGTCATAATTTTTGTGGCACTAGGATTATTAATTGACCAAAAAGCATGATCTTTATAATGTAGTTTGTATTCTAGTAGAAAAGCTAATACTAAGTATAGATATGATGCAATCTTTTGCCTGATTGGATCATATTTAGATGAATAAGATGCTTTCTGAAGTCTTCATCAACATCTCTGCAGATGAGTGAGGTGAATTTCTAATGCAAGATTGTATAATACATGAAAAATGTAATGCAGGTTTGCACAGTGGTAGTATCGTAGCCAATGAGTTTTATCCGAGTGCGATTATTGCTAATTGAAAACTTTTCCCAAAACCCCGCCATGACGACTTGAGATATGGTCAGCATTGGCAATTTTTGACAATCTCTATAGAGACTGAATTAAAAAAAAATGTAATGCAGTATGAATGTAGAAACACTTGTAATGTCACTGATAAAACATGAAAGTTGTAAATTAAAAACAAATTTGTTCTGTCTTATACAAGCCTTTTAAATTGATGCTTTAAAATACTAAGCTTTTATGAGATTAATTTTTATGAAAGAACCCAGTACTTTTGTTAAGGCCATTTGAAATGGACTCTTTCAATTGTAAGCCATTCTCATTTCAAACACATTATAAAACCAGGGACTTTAAAAAAATCTCTGTATTCAAAACTTCCTTTACCTTGACCTTAAATACTCTTCAGGGGTCCAATGCCCAGTATAGATTATTGTCACTTATTTTTTTATTCAGGACAATAATGAATGTGGTTGGGGAACACATTTCTGAGAAGGTGGCATTTTAGCTGAGATCTGAATTATGACAAAGAACCAACCATACGGAGATCTTTAAAAAGCTTACCCCAATGAGAGAAAGACAGCCAAGACGGAGGTCCTGAGGCAGGTAAAATTGAATACGTAAAAGGAACTGAAAAGTCAGCCAGAGTGGCTGAAGCTTAGTAAACAAGCAGGATTAGTCTACAGTGGAGTTGGAGAGACACTGTAGACTCCCTCTGGTGTCATTCTATTCAGCTTCATAAGTTAAGCCCATGATGAATGATGGCAAGTTCAGGCTCATAAGAGACTATACTGTGTTCTGTGCTCCGTGTTCTTGGTTGCAGGATTAGAAATTGCCTGGCACTAACAGTGGAACAGAATTGGTCATTTTATTATACTTACAAAAGATACTCAATTATGCTTTTCTCAGTGGAATCATTTTTTTTGTCAGTCTAAAAACTAAAATAAATTGATATGTCAAAATCCATGCCATAAACTGTCGTGTTTCCAAGACTGTCTCCTCTAAATAATATACTGGTTATATTTATTATTTTTAATCAGAATTCGATTGCAATACACCCTTCCACTCTGGGTGAAGAATAACATGAGCTAGCAAATGTTTCTGCGAGATGCTTTTTCTTAAGTACATCTTTAGCTGGTTGTATTGAGTTGTACTCTCTACCTGCAGTTACTCCATTGCAAAGGTTGCAACAAAGCAACAGAGTCTAATTTGTATTTTTTTTTTTTAATTTTAAAGAAGAAATCAATTCCTTTATACATGACAGGATGTCATTTTGATCAGTGTCCCCTTAGTTACATTGAGGCTGCTTAATTTTAGTAAAGGATGGCCAGAATTTATCTTCAGTGAGGAAATTTGACAGGACAAATAATGCTGTAATAGCAAAAGAAACATTATTTTAATGGGACTCTTATCAGCACCTGGCGACAACTTTACATGTCAGTGCCCTGCATTGTCAGGCAGCTGGAAAATGGTGGGTGGGGCTGAGACAGTGGATAGGGAGGAACGTGCAATGAGGTTCAGAGAAAGGGAGCCAAAATGAGTCAAAAGGCCTGGTTCTATCTCCTAATTATGTAAATCGGACTTCAGTATTGTACCAAATTCAGTTTTCTGGCTTCAGGTATGCTGTTAATAATGATACTTCAAATTTTAATGAATCATTAAGAAACTTTACATAAACTTTACATATCCAAAGTAAATTGGAAAACAAGGATAAATACATATAATTTTCTGGTGAATTATGAATTTACAAAAAGAGACTCTTAATTAGAACTTTTTTTGCATTGCTTTTGGTTTCATATATATATGTGTATATATATATATATTTCAGTTCTGGAGTACATATGCAGAACATGCAGGTTTGTTACATAGGTATGCACATGCCTTGTTGATTTCTTGCATCTGTACCCCTGTTATCTACATTAGGTATTTAATATTATCAAGAATTAGAACATTTTAACAGACAAATCCCTGTAGATCAATTTGTCAGAGTACTCCACCAAATTAGAAGGTCAGGAGGCTTCACAGAGAAATTTTACCAAACCTTCCATGAGCCAAAATTGAAATGTTACTAGACTGCTTCACAGACTGGTAAGAGAAGGAAAAATTGTGAAATAATTTTACAAACTGAATATATCAATGTGTGATGATGTTAGTCTTCAAAAAGAGACTACAGACCAATATCACTTATGCCTAACAATGAAAAAATTCTAATATGAGAAAGCAGAATCTAGCAGCATGTTAAAAAATAATACATCTTGAAAAGGCAAGATTTATTTGTTCTAATAGTACAGAAATAGCCCAATATTAAGTAATATATTAATCATATCACAGATGAAAAACAATTATTTGATCATGTCAATAGAGGTTGTAAAGTTATTTGACAACACTCAATAAAAATTCTTGGCAAAAGCAGTTAATTAGTTCTAAAATTCAGACTTTTCCTTAGCATAACTATCTCAATCCAAAGACCAGCGTTCTTAATGGCAAATACCAGATATTTCTCCACTAAAGTAAAAAACAAACAAGATTATCCTCTATCCACATTATTATTTAACGTTGTTCGAGAATTACTAGATAATAAAATTAGACAAAAGAAAATTGTAAGTCTGAATTCATTATTTCTGATTTTCATACTATCAGTATATGCAGATTGTATCATCTAATAAACCACAAAAATATGGGACTTTTTCTGAGATTGGGTTTTGCTCTCGCTTAGGCTAGACTACAGTAGCACTATCATAGTTCACTGCAGCCTCAACCTCCTGGGCTCAAGTGATCCTCCTGCCTCAGCCTTCCGAGTAGCTAGAACTACAGGCATGTGCCACAATATCTGGCTAATTTCTTAATTTTTTTGTAGAGTTGGGGTCTCACTAAGTTAACCAGGTTGCTTTCCAGCTCCTGGCCTCAATGTGTCCTCCCACCTCAGCTCCCTAAAGTGCTAGGATTACAAGGTGTGAGCCACAACATGCCAAACATCTAGTTTAAAACATCTAGTTAAAAACATCTAGTTTAATACATGCAATATGGTATTTGAATTAGGTGATAAAATATTGAATATACAAAAATAGTATGAACTTGATGTAAGTATAATTTTGGTAATGACATAAATTATTAGCATAAACTGTTAGAAAATACAATTGAAAAAATAATTTGCAATAGCAAAAAAAAAGATAAAATAGCTAGAAATAAAGTTAAGAAATATTAAAGGCATATGAATAAATTGCGAATTCTACAAAAGATCACTTTGAATATATACAATATAATAAGGTTCTAATAAACATATAATGTGATCTCAAAAAAATCATTTAACTAGAACTAATTCTAAATTTTTATTGGAAAATAAGCAAGTACAAATAGATAGGAAAACTGAAAGACAATAAATTAGTCATGTTGCATATTAAAACATCATATACATCCTGTAATTAACACAATGTGACACAGAGCAAAAACATCAGAAAACATAAAAATATACTTAAGTTTAGCATATGAAAACAACATCTAAAATAAAAAAAATCAGTGCTTAACCCAGTAAATATTGTTGGCAGAATTGGACAGCTTTCTAAAAAAAACACTTGAACCCATACTTCTCAGGACACACCAGCAAAATTCCAAATGAATTAAAAATTTAAATCTAAAACATAAACCATATATGTTATATGAATTAATTAGTTTGTGTGCCTGGGGTAGTAAAGGGCTTTCGAACTATGGTTTGAAATACAGATGCCATGAAAGAAAAAATTATTTTCTACACAAGAGTAAAACATTTCTGCATAGCAAAACAGTAAGTAAAACCAAAACAAAATAACAAAGAGATAAAAAAACTTTTGTACTTCATATCCAGATAGTAAATAATTTTTTCTAATGTAAAAAGAACTCAAAAATTACTTCACAGAAGATTAACATATCAACCAAAAAATAGACTAAAAACAGGGTTCCGAAGACAGAAAATACAAAAACTTGCACAATATTTTTAAAGTGCTCAAACTCATTTATTAAAAAAGAAATGCTGAAAAATTATGTAATACCATTTTTGCCTCCTAAATAGGTAAAAACTTGAAAGTTTGCTGACCCACTTCTGTGAGAAAATTGTGGTATATAGATGCTTTTTTAATACTGGTGGAATACAAACAAATTATATGAAAGAATATTTAGTAAAATCTATCAAAATTACAAATTAAAATTTTTGATCTAATAGTTTCATTTGTAGAAATTTATTCTACAAAAAATAAACTGACGTGTTTAAAGTGACTGACATAAAATAGTATTCATTCCCATGTTGTTAGTGATCGCAAAGAGAAAAAAAAAAAAAACTACCCATCAATATGAAACTGATTGAATATATCCTGGTGAAAGCATAAAATGGAAGACTACAATTTTTTAAAGAAGAGGAAGATAGGAATATTGACAACATAAGATCAAATCATGGTTCTGTCATTTGAATGTGTGTACAACCCTGGGCAGCTTGCAAACAGTCTCTAAGCCTCAGGGTACTCACCTTTGAAATGAGGCTAACAAGAGTACCATCTCAGAAGGTTTGACAGAAAAGATTAAGGCTGTTAAAATACATAAAGCAGTTAGAATAGAAACCCTGCACATAATTAACACTAGTTTATTTCCAATTTTATGTGCTTTTATGAAAATATTTACAAGATAAATTATGTGAAAAAGTAAGTGATGTAAGATGCAATCATTTGTACAAAAAAGGGGGAAATAGGAAGTAGAAATCTATGAAACATAGAAATAGGAATCTATGTTTGCATTTATTTAAATATTAAGGAAAATATGAAGGAGTCTTCATGTTATAATTTTCCTGCAGTTTTATATTGCCTATGCAAAAATAAATAAGTAAATATAATGACTAAAAAGAATAATGCCCTCTCATATTTTTGAGCAACAAAATAATAGGTTAAAATAAAAGTATTTGTAAACTCTAGAACATTGTGCAGATTAAAATAATAAAATCTAATATTTGAGTGGCTTTTTGTGTGTTAGATGCTGTGCTTTTGTTTTACATGTATTCTCATTTACTCCTCATAACAATCCTATGAAGTGAGCACTAATTGTGTTCTTTTTCAGTGAGAAGATTGAGAATCCAAATG